GAAACTAATCACAAACAACCCTCATGCTCAGCTTGCTGCTAAATTTAGCACCATAGAACACATTTACAATATACAAGCTGAAAACAACATAGCACAGACCATATACACTGATGGATCACTCAATACAGCTACAGGGAGAGCAAGAAGTGCTATTATTGCTCATCAGCCCGATGGCAGCACAATTCAAAGGAATATAAGAATTAGTAACAGGGCATCCACATTGCAAGCTCAATTGGTAGCAATACTGGTAGCTCTCGAAATTATTGACAACACTGAAGTAGACAGCTTAATTATTTCCGACTCCGTTTCCTCACTACAAGCAATAAATAGTTTGCAATCAAGTTTTTATTTGTTTTTTATTTTTATAAATAAAACAAATACAAATAAACACAAAACACAATGAAAGCCAGTACATATCAAGTATACCAAAGAAAGAACAGTACATAGGAATAAAAAAAACTAATAGTAAACAGCAACAGTAACCGCAAAAACAAAACAAAAGCAGTAAGTCAAGAAAAACACAATACAGGGCACAATCCCGATACCTCAACACGGGGACCAGTAAAACAATGGGCTAAACAGTACATGGAAACAATGGGCTAAACAGTACATGGAAACAATGGGCTAAACAGTACATGCAAACAATGGGCTAAACAGTACATGCAAACAATGGGCTAAACAGTACATGCAAACAATGGGCTAAACAGTACATGGAAACAATGGGCTAAACAGTACATGCAAACAATGGGCTAAACAGTACATGCAAACAATGGGCTAAACAGTACATGCAAACAATGGGCTAAACAGTACATGCAAACAATGGGCTAAACAGTACATAGATACGTAGCAACACAGAACATAGCAAAGAAAAGCACATGAAAAATAAATAAAACCATAAAGTACATAAAGAACATAAAACACACCTGTAACCAAATACATAAAACAGACACAGACGTGGATATAGAACCACGTGCACAAAACCACACCTATCACACACACAGAGGAATAAAGGAGCATAGGACCATACACATGCCACAAAGGTATACAACACATACAAAATGACAAGAAAGTATGTATACACGCACACACACAAAACACACCCTTAAACAATAATACAAGCACACACATACCCACCCACACCACAACCGCACACCACACATCACCCAAGCACGCAAAGTTATGAGTCACAGGCCAAGGCGAAACACGGCAACAAATATAACATTAGAAAAGAGAACAGCAGAAAACCCAGTCCCACGCAGGAGCCTAAAACCTCCCCCAAATCCACACACCCACACGAATACGACTGCAACCAGCACCCGGAGGCACTGAAACACACCACACACGCACAGGAGCAGTAACATTAGAAGAGGAACACACACAATCCCCGCCAAGGCGGCCCAAAGGAACGGGAAGGGAGCACATAGTCAAAGCAAACTCCGAAACCTTCCCAACCCCTCCAAACCCACACCAACCCCCAAACCCCACCCAAGACCGAGAACATCACCCGCCCACCAAGGCAACCACTGAACCAAAGGCAACCCCACGAACATAGGCATCAGGTGAACCACCGACCAAACTCTACCGGATAAGCGCGCTGCAACCACCACCAGGTAAACCGCATGCACCCCCGTAAAAAGGCTTAAATTTGGGTAACCCCAAAACCCTCCCACCTCCCAACCCAAACACAAAACACATAATCTCCAATCAAAAAACACAAAGTATTACGCACTCGCCTCGAATAACCCGGAAAATACAAAAAACAAAAACTGCAAAACACCACCCCGAGAATCCAGACAACAAAACACCTCCAGGACATCCCGAAACAAGGCAACCAACCTCTGCAACCGGACACAAAAATAAAATACATGCACCTGCAATTCATTGAAGCCACAGTGGACACACACCTCAGAATCACGCAAGCCAAGCATACACAACCGATCATTCGTCGCCAGCAGCAAATGCAGAAACCGAAACAGCAATTCACGCTGCTGAGGCGCCAAGAACCTTCCCCCCCAATCACGACCAGATACTACCCAAATCCCAACATAGGAATAAGCCCTCCACTTGAGGCCGCACCCAGGGCAACAACACCCCATACACAGCCTTACACGAGAATGACATAAACCCAGGATGGCGGCAGAGCTCCCGAAGAAACCCCACGGCCCAAGAATAAACAGGGGGGTAAACAAGGCCACCTTCTGACAAACCCCAAATCAACCAAATAACTGAAACGAAGCAAGCAGAAAAAAACACCCAGAGCATTCAACACCCCCCCCCCCCCCCGAGACCCAGCCCCTGACGCAACGAGACCCAAAAGAGGTCCTTGGCCTTTGTGAATACGTCAGGAATGCCAACACCTCCCTTTCTCACCCCTAACACCAACGTTGAACGGCGCACCGGTTGATAACGCCCACACCACACATATCTGTACACCATACTCTCCAAACCCAAGGGTTTCCAACGATCCAACGGGAAACACCGAGTCCCATACCATACATGCGTCAAGACCTTACACGCAACAAGCAGCCCCCGCTGATAAAACGTCAATAGACGATGCAACAAGAGGCCAATCGCAACCCCAACCGACCAAGAAACAGCACCCAATTCCCATCCAAGGAGTGGTCATAGGAGGCAAACCAAGTAACCCCAAGAACCCGAATCTACGAGACCACCGGAAACCACGACCTATCCCACACAAGGCGGGAAGCCCACACACACCGATCCCAATCAACTATCAATCAATCGCCCGATTAAGAACGGCCCCCGTGGCGGAATCAAACCGTAGGAGAACGTCGAAGACAGCACCGACAGAAACCACCAGAGCTACGAACAGAACGACGTCGTCAGCATACTTGCAAATGGGTAGCCGAAGACCGGACGGTAGACGAGGAGGCACAATCAAGGAGCATGCTTTTCCTGCCCGAAAGAGAGGTTCCTGAAAAATCACATACAAAAGCATTGACATGGGACACCCCTCGCGAACGGAACGGCCCCCCCAAAAAAAGGAACTAAAAAAATCCATTCACACAAACGCGACTGTGACTCCGGACATTCAGCAAACGGACCCAACCCACAAACTCCAGCGGAAATCTAAGCAGCTCCATAGCACCAGAAACAAACTCCAAAGACACCCGATTGAAGGCCGAATCGGACCGAAACTTGGAGTGGTCGAAACCAGTCCAAGATGATCATAGTCGCCGAAAGCCGATACTCGGACGCATAGAGAAGCACGTCATGAAATAAAGCACTGGAATTCATCAGGGCACGGCCTGACACACCACAAAACTGCTCCATAGAGACCACCGACGCAACGACACCGTGACAGCGACGCGCTAAAACCTTAGACAGATTTTTATAGTCAACATTCAGGAGCATAATAGGCCTCCAATTCATAAACAACTGCAAATCGCCCGGCTTTGTGAGCAGCTGCACGATTCTGTCACAAAGGGAATCAGGCAGAGCACCCAACCGCAGACACGCCTGCACCACCTTCAAAATAACCTCCCCCCAACACATCCCAAAAGGTAAGGTAGAACTCAATGGACAGGCCATCTGCACCCGGCATTCTCCCTGAACGAAACGACCGAACCACCTCCAGGAGCTCCATCATTGAAACATCCTGCACCAACCGGGCACACTCCGCCGCCGACAAACTGGGGGAGCCCCCGTCCAAAAAGGATTCCACGAGCACACTATCCCCACTCACCTCCCCATAGAACACCTCCAACTCCTGCCGTGCGGTAAGCAGAACACCCTCCGTGCTACAAAGCACAGACCCATCAGGCCGCCAAAGGCCCTTGAAAAGGACGGAATCCCGAGCAGCCTTCTCCCTCCCTAAAAGAAAGGGAGAGAGCCTCTCCTCATCCACAAGCTCTACCACACGAGCACGCACCCGAACACCATCAGCCAACACCGCATGTAAATCGCAAATACGCTCCATACACTCAGAAATCGCACCAAAGCAGTCAACCCCAGCATTCAACCGCACATATAAACAAGACAAACGTGCCTGAAGTAACCGCAGCAGACCAAACCTCCCGGCCGCCTCGCGCTTAGCAACAACCCCAAAAAACCTCCGACACTCCACCACTCCCACCAAATGAACAGTGAGGAGAATTCTGCCTTCCGGGCAACGATTCCAACCCACCAGGCCAAAACTGCGCACAAATACGCGGACAACGCAACAACCAACAATTTAGTTTCCACCATCCAGGCCCCACCCGCACCTGACTCCGGATACCAACCCGGACCACCACCAAATAATGATCCGAGAAGGCCATCGGGACCGTGTGAAAGTAAAAAACCGAACACTCCCCACCAGAAACATAGAACCTATCTAACCTAGAACGTGCCGCATGCGCAGCGAAGATATAATCCAAAGAGCCGCCAGACAAAACGGCTGCATCGCGAAACCCACACGCATGCAAAACCTCAATTAAAGCGGCCGCGGGTGAGTACTAGAGCAATCCCGCACACTCGTAACACAATTAAAATCATCCCCAAAGATCAAATCCCTGGTATCATGCCACAGATAGGAGGGATATGGCAGAATCCCCTCCCGAAAAACAGCTCATGGTCCTGATGATTCACCACCCCAGAATGGGTGTACACCGTCAAGAACGGAATTACAACCTCCAAATATTCTGCCCGAACAAACAAGACCTGCCACTCTTCATCCTTTTCGGCGTGGAGCACGGAAATAAACGCCCTCTGCGAAAACAACATGAGCGTCCCCTTCCAAAGAACGTCCTCGGTGGGATCAACACAACATGATACTCAGCACACAACCCTTGCAAAACAGACACATCCTGAACATTGTGCTCCTGGATCAGAGCCACATCCACACGCTCCTCCCTAAGCACATCCACAAGGCCCAACGGGACCGCCAAATCATTCAGACCACGAACATTCAAAGACGAGCAAACAATAGCAGGCACCATCGAACCCATCAATGACCCCCATTTCCCCCCAGGCTCACCAGTGGGCACATTGTCACCCACCGCAGAGGCGTCGTCAGCAACCCGAGGCTCAACCTGCCGCCGCCCCACCGCCGGGGAATCCATCAGAACGCGGGGCCTTGGACCCTTCAGGAAGCGAACAGTGCCGGCATCACCCAGCGAAGCACGCTGAGACTCCGCTGCCACTGACCAGATAACACTGACGTCCACCACTGACGAGGAAATCTTGCCACCATCCGCCACTGCATCACCTCCGGAATCCACATCAGACACAGGAGAATTAGAAGGAGGAGAGGGGCACCTCCCAAGGCGCAACCCCATGAAGCCTCAACTTGTTTGCCAGGGGGCTCTCCACTGTGTGAGCGCCCCTCCGCAACGCGCTTCCGGCGAGGAGCAGGGGATGACAACGCCCCATCATGGTGCGCACCCCCAGGAGGAGCAGAAGGAGGACGTGCAACGCAGGCAACAGGAATGCTGGCACCATCGACGACGCCTCCATCACCCTCAAACAACGAACCCCCTTCAGTGGGAGGCACTGATACAACACTCCCACCACCACGCCCATCCATCACCAAAGCACCAGGAACGAGATGCACATCCACATCCACCGGTAGTAGAAGATACGAAGCAGGGGCAGCCACGTCCTTCACCGCAGCCGGTGTAGGAGACACCACAGGTACAGACGGAACACCAGGCACAACCGCCGCAGGTACACCACCAGGCATACGCCCATGCCGAGAACAGGCCAGGGAGGTACCATGCTCACGCAGGGTTAAAAAAAATCTCCCTCACAGAACACAGAAGTAGTCTCCATGCGAGGAACCTCACACCGGGCAGCATCATGGCCCTCCTCCCCGCAGTGGAAGCACGTGCGGGCTTACACCGGATAGAAAACACGGAATGGAAGACCACAGCATATAACCTTGGAAGGGATGGACTCCGTGAGGCGCATATGCAGCGTGCAAGTACCCTGCGGAGACCCTGCAGCCACCCGGCACCCAAAATGTTGTATCGATGATGCATCACCGAACCATACCTCGCAAACACAGAGGAAAGCTCCGCCTCAGGAAACGTAACTGGTACCCCGTGCACGCTCACATAGGTCAGTGGGCCCCTCGAAACAGAGACAGTCACTGAAACAGCCAAATAAGGAAGGAGAGCCGTCCGGTCGTTCCAACGCCCCGCAAACTGCTCGTATGCAGGTGACGGGGCAAAAGTCACCGCCACACGAGTGGGAGAAAATTTCTCGAGACCGAGGAGATCCTTAACATCCACGTCAAGGGCATCCAGAAGCTCAGCCGCCACAAGCTCCCAATCCACCGCCGCAGAGAACTACAGATGAACAGTATTTACACGGCGGATGCGGCCACCACCAGCCGCTGCCATACTGCTAACCGCCCCGGTCAGCAGGCGCCCCACATCAATGAGCAACCATCGCCAAGCAGCGACAAACCGCTACTGGCAGCCAAAGCCCGACGTCCACGCCCCAATTATTTCCGACTCCCTTTCCTGACTATAAGCAATAAACAGTTTGCAATCAAGTAATAACGTGTTTGTCTCGGAAGCTAGACATAGATATATAAGCATACTTAGCAAGAGGGTAAATATATAAATGTTGTGGATTCCTTCTCACATTGGCCTGTAGGAACATAACAAAGTTGACGCCCTTGCTAAGGCTGCAATAAATAAAGACAGTATTGAACGGAATCTTGAGTTATCAAATAGGTCCCTTAAAAGTGTCATTAGATGAGAACTCCTGGATGGATTTGACAAAAGTAGAACAGTGCAAACAGCAACTAGCAGGTCCATTGTTTATCACAATGAAATGTGTGAAGTAAAACATGTGTATGGGGGAAGTAACAAAGTCAGTAGACTAACAGATGTTGTCACAGCTCGTATAAGACTTGGCTACAAGTCTTGGTATAAGACAAGTATCTCTGGCAGTTCGGCTTGTATAGAGATCTAGATGAAGTAAAGTGTAAAGTGTGTGGGACAAAGACAGGGACACACACTCGATCACTATATCTTGGATTTTTTTTTTTTTGAGATATATACAAGAGTTGCTACATTCTTGTACAGCCACTAGTACGCGTAGCGTTTCGGGCAAGACCTTAATCCTAAGGGTCCCTGGAATACGATCCCCTGCCGCGAAGAATCGTTTTTTCATCCAAGTACACATTTTACTGTTGCGTTAAACAGAGGCTACAGTTAAGGAATTGCGCCCAGTAAATCCTCCCCGGCCAGGTTACGAACCCATGACATAGCGCTTGCGGAACGCCAGGCGAGTGTCTTACCACTACACCACGGAGACTGCTCCGGAGATTGTAGTAAAATTGAGCCATTTAGAGATAAATCTAAGCTTACGCTGTATGATATGGCAACCTATCTTATTGCCAAGGATAAAATACCTGAAATCCTTGCACTGTATCCATATTTCGCTTCCAGTAGATAAACGAGACATATGAGATTAAGAAACAAGTAGTGTATTGTGAAGACTAATAATAAACAGAAGCTCCCCTATGACTGTAATATCTCCATTGATCAAACTATTATGTATTAGCAATAAGACCTACCATTAATGTATAATGACTTACTGTAATTATATAGCTCTTGAAATGGAACATTCTCTGTAACTAGCTGACATGTAACTATAAGGTGTGAAGGATAGATGTAATTGTTTATGTAATAATCTATAAAGACCTCATCCCCTCATCCCAAAGATAAAGACCTTTTGTGCCCTCTGTAATGCTTTTTGCACTACCGCTCACAGAATGAGTATTGGGTGCACAATAAACTAGCCGCCTCCGGCGGCAACAATCAATCCACTACCGCCCGCAGATTGGATGTGGGGGGTCCACTATCGCTCAAAGGATGGATGCAGGGTCCACTACCACTCACAGGATATATATATAGTCCAGGACCACTAGAGTATAGATATGAAGGCCATTATCATCCACAGAACAAGTATTGGATCCACAACCACCCACAAACATAAGGTGGATATAGGGTTCACAACTAGTCACAAGTTGTGTATGGGATATTGGGTCCACTACCACTACGGGTGTTAGTGGACTCCATACCCATTAATTACCACCCACAGGAGAGGTATGGGGTTCATTACCACCCAGCGGATTGGTATGGGGTCCACTACCAAATGTAGGATTCGTAAGGGGCCCACTATCATCCACAGAACAGGTATTGGGTCCACAACCACCCACAGGATGGATATAGGTTTCACAACTAGTCACAAGTTATGTATGGGATACGGGGTCCACTACCACTACGGGTTGTAATGGACCCCATACCCATTAATTATCACCTATAGGATGGGTATGGGATCCACTACCACCCGTAGGAATTGTATGGGGTTCACTACCAACTATAGGATATGCATGGGGCTCACTACCGCCTACAGGATGGATATGGGGTCCAGTACTGCCCACAGAATGAGAATGGGGTCTACTACCGCCCTAATATGTTGACATTTAGGAGGTAAGGTAGGTTACATGGAGTTGATTATGTAGTATCCTGTTGTTTTTCTCTTAAACTGGATGATAGATTTTATATATTTTTGATACGGGCAGTCTTTGACGTGACTGGGAATACTTACACACGTACATTATCCCAACATACAAACATGCATGCATACAAACATACATACATACGTACATACATACGCCAATCCTGGAGTATGCAGCCCCAGCGTGGAGTCCATATCTAGTCCAGGATAAGAAAAAACTGGAAAAGATTCAAAGATTTGCCACCAGACTATTACCCGAGCAGAGAAGCATGAGCTACAGGTACTTTGAGGAGAGACTACGGGAATTAAACCTCAAGTCGCTGGAAGACAGAAGAGTCAGGGGGGACATGATCACCACATTCAAGATTCTCAAAAGAATTGATTGGGTAGATAAAGAAAGGCTATTTAACACTAGGGGCAACACACTAGGGGACACAGGTGGAAACTGAGTGCCCAGATGAACCACAGAGATATTAGAGAGAACATTTTTAGTGTCAGAGTGGTTGTCAAATGGAATGCATTAGGAAGTGATGTGGTAGAGCCTGACTCCGTACACAGTTTCAAGTGTTGATATGATAGAGCCCAATAGGCTCAGGAACCTGTACACCTGTTGATTGACGGTTGAGAGGCGGGACCAAAGAGCCAGAGATCAACACCCACAAGCGCAAATAGGTTAGTACATACATGCATGCATACATACATACATACATACATACATACATACATACATACATACATACATACATACATACATACATACATACATACATACATACATTTGACCAACACGACCGGACAAAATGAGGTGATAGCCGAAGCTATTTGAACCACCCCACATACATACATACATACATACATATATACATACATACATATCCGTCCAGTCAGCATATAGCTATTTCGGGACAAAATCCTATACAGTTTATATTGGTGAGACGCCACTGTGATGAGGAGTTTAAATATCACAGGAACTGTAGGTTAATGTGTGATAAAAGTGAGGTTAGATGAGGCATCCACAAGCATCAGCTGGAGGCTGGGGGAGTGTTGTTGAGTCTGCTGGTATTATGCCCAGAGTTAGAGGGTGGGTTTGACCACCCCACCCTGGTGACCATCTAAATCGTCTAAGGTTACTTGTCACTCATGCTTACCAAGGGTATCCACACACACACACACACACACACACACACACACACACACACACACACACACACACACACACACACACACACACACACACACACACACACAGACACACACACACACACACACACACACACACACACACACACACACACACACACACACACACACACACACACACACACACACACACACACACACACACACACACACACACACACAAACACACACACACACACACTGTTACGGTGCCCTCTCCTATTTCTTTCGTTTGCCGGCTTAAAGAGTCATATCAGCTCTCCCTACTGGTTCTCTGAGGGTCAGGGAGTCTAATGATATATGTGGCGACCAGACCGGCTGCCAGTTAAGGGAAGGAAGTTATATTATAAGTTGTAAATAAAGGAAAATTGGCGCCCTGTTATAAAATGAAACAGTATCCCCTATGGCAGATATGACCTTTTGGAAGGGACATTAGCCGATCGCGGATTGGCCGACGTGGGTCGCGGGCGACCAATCAGGGCCTGCCATGACGTCACCGAGTGCCCCGGGCGGCGCCAACGTCAGAGTGGTTCTGACCTTGGAAGCGACAGGACGCGCCTCGGTCTGCTCTCAAGGATTGGAGGCTCTGCAAGCCTTATTCAGTGGATTGAACTAGCCGTCG